AGTGTATTGTGAGATAAAATTATATATAGTGCTTGTTGGATAATAGCTTATCTTGCTTCACAAATGGTTTAGAGACAAACTGTCAATAGATTTGTATTAACGTATTCAGTGTCAGAATGCTATTTCCTAGAGCCCTTTGTATAATGAGACTGGGATAATCTATCCTACTCCTTTCTCCATTGTGATTTCGGATCCCTTTAGTTCTCAAAATACTTCAGGCTATTTCCTTCATCTCTTACATTCATGAAGATAATAAGAAAAGTGTTGCTGAAATGGGGAGCGTATGCACACCTATGGCTTGGCTTCTCCCTTGAGAAGGTTCTCACTTAAGTTATGATGTCTCTTTAAGCTTAGTTTTCAGAAAGGAGGGTGGTGGTAATGGTAAGGAGAGGAGGGAAGGGGCCAGCATGGAATTTAAGGCATGTAGAGATCAGTGGGCATTAAGGAATACAGTGGAAGTTACAGAGCAAGAAGGAGAGTCAGAGAAAGAACAGGAGAGAGCCAAGCTTGTCCGTGTCGGATAGTGACCTAGGACCTGTCCTCTTATTCTAACTCAAGCTCTCTATTTTGATATTAAACCTGTTCATAATACAAAGAACTAATTTACCTCCTTTCTCTTTACTTTTAGCTGCAAAATATACTCTAAATTTATTAGTGGAGACCCAGAATGCTTTTCTTGTTGAGTCTTACTCTCTGCACTTGTGAGCATTGTTTGCATGAGCACTAACATTGGACACTATACATGTGGAAATGCTCTGAGCTCCCTGTGGGAGATTTACCATATTTAATACTCATTGTTATAAGCCTGGCTCCATGGCCAAAAATAGAGTAAAAAGCTCCAGGGAGCAATCTCACCATCCATATAAAATCATAACATGTTAGGGCTCCCAGAGTCTTTGTGATGATCTGATTCACTGATCTGATTCAGATGATTAAATTACCGCCCACCAAAGCTAAGAGCCTGACACTTCTTTAGGGAATAATTGAGCATTGCAGAAAAAGAAAAGGACCCTTCTCAACCACCTATTATAAACATAGATCCAATTACTTGCACAGGTATTTTGGATTAACTCAGACAACTAGGGCTCTTTCTTCTAATTCCCATCCCACTAGTCCTTGAAATAGTTGCAATATGATGTATTCAATCCTATCAAGGTGAAGGACAATCACTATTAATCCATGCCAGGCCCTCAAAGTAAAGCAAGCGGTGATGAAATGCATATTCTGTCAGGCACAGCTTACTCACCTAGATGTCTCATCCAATATTCTTTGGGAAGAATTTTGAGCTTTACTAGTCCCTCTGTAGTTTGCGAAAAAAAAAAAATCTTCTGGGAGTATATGAGTTCTGTGGGTTACATTGTATGAGATCCTAACATTTTGCACTCTGTTATCACTTTTCCAGAGTTACTTGAGAAAAACAAGGGAGATAAATGATGCAGCAAAATAAAACTTCTCTCTCCTCCCGCCTTGCTCTTCTGTGCTATCCTGTATTATGATTGTTATATAACTTATATTTTCATATTATATCAAAACAGAGCATAATTTTTCCAGGTAAAAAACTTACTTGCATTTTTGAGAGTAATAACTTTCTATTTGCTAGAAACTAAACGTACTTATTTATACTAAGTAAAATAAATGTATGCATGAGACCTCTTATCTATTTCCCTTCATATTTTTTTCGCAAACCAATACAGTCTTAGCCAGTGCTCAAGAACAAACACAACACATTTAGTAATGCCAAATGATACATCCAAAAGGATGGAGAAAATGTGTGAGGAGATGATGAATAACGATTAATGGCGATTATGATGATTAAGAATAAATGATAGGTCCTGGGTATTTTGGGTCTCTCACCCCCTCCCATTTGTATAACAGATGACAAATGCAACATACAGCTGCATCGCAATTAAATGTCTTTTTCCTTTGTAGAATTAGAACCCTTTTCGAGACTGTTTTATATGCTGGGTCTACAAGGCAACTATACACATAAAGGATTGAGTCTGGACATTAATGATTTAACCAAAATTATAGGAAATGATACTGGTCGAAATAATTTACAAAACCACAGAAAATTTTCATGGCGTGGGTAAATGCTTAGAAATAATAAAACTGATAAAAATTTATATAAACCATATACATTTTACAAAGGAAAAGGTGTTTATTTTCAGAATTGAACAGGTAGAATTTTCATGTAAGGCATTTATAAAAAGGCAAAAATTTTTGGCATCGACATTCTCTTGGAATTAGTTCTGTCAACACCCCTACAGGTGGTACAAGACAAACAGATGGAGAAGTTTGTTGATAATATGGGGTCGTTTCAGAATCCCACTATGGCTGTTCTCTTCAGCATCATTTTAAGCCCCTGGATCCTACTCATAAAAATCTTTTTTATTTGGAAAATAATTTTCAGCATCTTACCATAAATAAGAATACTATTTCATACCAAGAGTATCTATTAAAGGTCAAAGTTTCCCATGTGTCTTAACAGAGTTGAAACATTCCCACTGGTTCAAGAAGATGATGCCAGCTCTGGCTTAGATGACTCACAAGGTAGGTCATGAGTGCAGTGTATGTATGGATTTCATTTCCACTCTAGGCTAACTATTGGGATGTGTACCAGCAAAAAGTCCTAATATTAATCTGGCTTACTTCCTGAAGACTGTTGAAATAACTTATGTTTTGTTAAATTCACTTTTGTCACATGTATTATATTGCTAACATAATTGTCACTTAACCTTGTCATGGATTGAGACCACAAATTAATCAATTTTGTCTTGCTTACTTTTAAATCCTCAGTACTTATATGGCAAACAGTATGCACTAAGTAAATGTCTGTTGAGAGATGATAATAATGAATGAGTACATTATTCTATGAATACTGCTAACTCATTTCACTATGAATAATAATAACACTTTTAGTAAGTTTTCCAATGTTGTTTTTAGTAGTTAATAAAAGCACTCTAACTAGTATCTGCCCAGTTGGAATATTGCAATATAAATAGCACAATAAAAACCATTACTTTGAAAATCCCAGCCATCCATCTAATTCAATTTTTCTCTGACTCAATATTGGTTGTGAAGCAAAACCTACATAAACCATGATAAACAATTCAGGCATCATAATTAAAAATGACCTTCTCTGTCTGTTGTCTATCATCTGATTCTGTTTTCCAAAAAAATCACCAAAGCTTTTGTTTATCACATTGACTGAAATGTCAAGGTCTCTTGATGATTACAACTCAAAGAAAAGCTTTTATTAGAAAAATGTAGCACTTAGAATACTTGAACATAGAAAACCACGATATAAAAATGTGCTTTTATTTTGAGCTCTGTAGCATTCTAACTTTATAGCAATTTATTTTACTTTCTGCATTTCAGAAATTAAACACAATTATAACAGTAACTCAGGCTTTTCAATGGGAAACAAAGAAACAAAAAAAATAGCAAAACAATTGTCAAAATAGGATACATGACAATGGCATCTAGGATTAAAGCATCCGCCTTCACCAATGTGAATTCTGTGATCAACAAGTTATTTGTGAGACCTGTCAGGTGTGGGGGAAGGAAGATGGGGAGCAGGGATAAGAAATTCTGTAAAGTATAAGGTGCGTTTAGGAGAGGAGAGCAGAGAGAGAGTGTCAAGGCACCAGGCCTTTGGGAACTCCAAGATTAATTTCCAGGTCCAACCAGATTGAAAGTTGTGTAAACTTTCCCAAATTACTATGCATACAAAACTAGTGTATATTACTAAAAAATTGTAATGTAATTGTATCTGGGCAGAAATGGGAAGGAGAAACAACCTTTACTATAGTATGTTAGATTTGCCATGATTCCAGTGTAATCTCTTAGCAACCACCTGACTGTGTATGTTCTTATAATAAGGAACTTTCAGATTATTGAATTGAACCCCCCTTTTTGTCTCTCAATTTTGGACTTTTTCAGACTATGCTCTCTCTGGAATACTTCTCCCCTCTCCTATTGTTACTTCGTCGGTGATTCTTATTCACCCTCCATAACTCAACTTAGAAATCACTTTCACAAGGCTTGGCTGACTCCACTAAACCTAGGTTGCGTATCCTTTCCAAATTCTCCTATCAACCCAGAGGTTATGACATTAGATTGTAATTCAGGATATGCTCTGTACCATCCACCTCTTAAGTTATGTGAAGGCAGGAGATACTTCCAGTAACAGTATCCCTCTTGTTCATCATTATATGACTAATTCCTAGCACAGTGCCCATTTCATATGGTAAATGCATCTGTTGATTTAAATAGAAATTGAATGATGAAGAAAGACAGTTATTCATTAACTATTTATTGTAGAGACCAAATAACTCAGAGCAATCAAAAGTTAATACCAGGCAAGGAGACAGAAACCAAGACAAAAATTCAGCTGCAAGGGGTTCAGGAATTCAGACCAGCAATTTGGGCAAGATGATAGTTACATCTTCTAACAGCCTGGGCAGCAGGATTGGAGAAATAGATCTTTTTATAATAAAGAGGGGATCCAGAATCTAGCAACAGGTAGAATTGAGGCAAACCTCAGATTTAGACAGAGAATATTTTATGCTCTTATTTTCAAGACAAAACTGATCTTTGCTCAAAGTTGGAGAGAGAATAGAGTGATATTTAGCATTTGCTTTGTGATTAAAGATACATTCTTTTATTTGATCAGTTTCATTGAAATACAGTTAACAAATAGAAAAATTCATCCTTTTCAGAACACAATTCTGTGAGTTTTGACAAATGTATACAGACACTTCACCACCACTACAATTGCAGTATAGGTCAGATCCATCACTCTGTACTTTGTGTCCCTTTGCAGTCAATCCCTAACCCTCACCTCTAGCCCCTGGCAACCAATGATCTGTTCTCTGTCCTCTAGTCCTGCCTTTTCCAGAATGTCATATAAATGCAATAATAAATTGTGTGGCCTTTTGAGCCTGCCTTCCTGTAATTAGCATAATGCATTTTCGATTCATTCATGTTTTTATGGGTATTAGATATTTTTATTTTTGTTTTTTAAACCTGCTAGCACAAATTCTTTAGTCAAGCTTCCCGCATGTGAGAAAATCACAGAGGTCAGCACGTTCGGAATGCAACAGGCAAGTCTTGCCCTGGAAAAACCAATTTGTGCTCATGTTATCTCCCCTGTCAAGTAAGTATGTATTCGATTATCTTTGATTGCTGAACAGTATTCCATTGCTGAATATATCACTGATTATTTATCCATTCTCCAACTGAAGGCCATTTGGCTTGCTTCCAGTTTTTTGCAATTATGATTAAATCCACCATAAATACTCATGTACCAGTTTCTTTCTGATCTTTGACAAAGAAGCAAGGATAATACAGTGAAGCAAAGATCATTTCTTCAACAAATATTGCTGAAACAAGTAGAAATTTACATGCAAAAAAATTAATCTAGACACAGACCATATACCCTTGACAAAAACTAACTCTAAATGGGTCATAGGCCTAAATGTAAAGTGTGAAACTATAAAATTGGAAGATAGCATAGGAGAAAACCTAGATGATCTTGGGTAGGATGGTAACTTTTTAGATACAACACCAAAGACACAATCCATTAAAGAAATAATTGATAAACTGGACTTTCTGTGAGAGACAAGAGAATGAGAAGATAAGCCACAAGCTGGGAGAAATGTTTGCAAAGCATACATCTGATAAAGGAATATTATCCAAAATATACAAAGAACACTTAAAACTCAACAATAAAGAGAAGACCCAAATAAAATTCGGTCAAAGACCTTAGCCACCTCACCAAAGAAAATACACCACTGGCAAATAAGCATATGAAATCATGCTCCACATCGTATGTCATCAGGGCAATGCAAATTAAAACAAAAACGAGAGACCACTGCACACCTATTAGAATGGCCATAATCCAGAACACTGGCAAGTACTGGTGAGGATGCGGCATAACAAGAACTCATACACTGCTGGCAAGAATGCAAAATGGTACAGTCACTTTGTAAGACAATTTGGCAGTTTCTTACAAAACTAAACATACCCTTACCGTACGATCCATCAGTTGTGCTCCTTGGTATTTACCCAAAGGAGCTGAACACTTATGTTCACAAAAAAACCTGCACACAGATATTTATAACAACTCTATCATAATGGCAAAAACATGGAAGCAACCAAGATTGTCCTTCAGTAGGTGAATGGATAAATAAATGGTGGTATGTCTAGACAATGGAATATTATTCAATGCTAAAAGGAAATGAAATAGCAAGTCATAAAAAGACAAAAAGTAACCTTCAATGTATATTAACTGAAAGGAGCCAATCTGAGAAGGCTACTGTGTGCTTCTAACTACATGACATTCTGGGAAATCAGAACTATGGAGATAATTTAAAAAATCAGTGGTTGCCAAGGGTGGAGGGAAAAAGGAAGGGTTGAATAAGCAGAGCATAGAGGATATTTAGGACATTAAAAATACTCTACATGATACCATAATGATGGATACATGTCATTATAGGTTTGTTCAAACCCACAGAACGTACAACATCAAGAGTGATCCTTAAGGTGAACTGTGGACTTTGAGTGATTATGGTGTGTCAGTGTAGGTTCATTCTTGGTAACAAATGTACCATTCTGGTGAGTGATGATAATGGAAGAGGCTATGCATGCGTGGGGCAAGGGAGTGTATGGGAAATCTCTGTACTTCTCAATTTTGTTGTAAACCTAAAACTGCTCTAAAAAAAAAGTCTTCTAAGAAGCCGCTTAACCAAATATATGTGGGTCTATGTTAGGACTCTATTCTGTACCATGGATTTATCTTTCTACCCTTTCTCTAATACTACATTCTCTTGATTAGTATAACTTTATAAAAATTATTGGAATCAGGTAAGTTTGTCTTCCAACTTTATTCTTTTCAAACATGCCTTTTTACTCTTCCAATTCCTTTGAATTTTATGTAAGTTTTTAGGATCAACTTGATTTTCAGGAAAATTCTCACTAGGATTTTGATTGTTGCTGTTTACTTGAATCTCTAGATCAGTTTTGTTAGAATTGCCATATTAACAGTATTGATTTCTTCCAATCTATGAACATGAGATATATCTTCCTACTTATTAAGGTCTTCTTTGATTAACATTATTAATGTTTTATACTTTTCAGCATACAGATCTTGCATATATTTTGTCAGATTCATATCTAAGTGTTCATGTTTTGATGCAAATTTAAATGCTGTTTTTCCATAAATCTTAAAAAATTTAGAATAGAGTTAAACTAACAGAAAATTTTCAAAGTACAGAGTTCCTAAATGGCACACATCCACTTTCTCCCATTGTTAACAACTAAGGAACCAACATTGTTACATTATTATTAAGAAAGCTTCACACTTTATTAGTATTTCATTGATGTCCTCATTCTGTCCCTGGATCCTATCCAGGATACCACATTACATTTAGTTTTCATGTCTCCTTAGGCCCTTCTGATTTGCAACAATTTCTCAGACTTTCCTTGTTTTTGGTGATCTTGACAGTTTTGAAGAGTGTCAATCAGGTATTTTGTAGAATTCTTCTCAATTGGGATTTGTCTGATATTTTTGTCATGAGTAGACTAGATTTGGTAGTTTGGGAGGAAGACTGAGATAAAGTGCCATTCTCATCACACCATATCATGCTATGTGGGGTATGACTTACCACTTTTGATGTTAACCTTGATCACTTCGCAGAGACAGAGTTTGCCAGATTTCTCCACTGTAAAGCTACTTTTTAAATGGCATTTTTATAATTAAATCTCCAGTGTTTCATTGCTAGTATATAGAAATACAATTGGTTCTTTTATATTTACCTTTCATCTTGTGATCTTGCTAAATGAACTTATTAGTTCTTTTAGCTTTTTATAGATTCTATTGGATATCCAGTGTAGAAAATCATGTCGTCTGCAAACAGATAATTTTATTTTTTTCATATGTAATCTGTATACCATTTATATATGCACATATGTATGTATGTCTGTATGTACTACCTCATTGCATTGACTAGGACCTAAAATACATGTTTAATAGGACTGGTGCGAGTAGACATCATTGCCTTTTCCCTGTAATTGTGAGCAAAGTATTCACTCTTTCATCATAAAGTATTATACTGTTGGATTTTTAGATACCCTTTATCAGATAAAGAAAGTTCCTTTCTCTAGTGTTCCAAGAGTTTTTATCATAAATGGATATTCCATTTTGTCATATTTTTTTTGCATTTATTGAGATGATTATATTGTCTTGCTTCTTTAGTTCATTGACATGGTGTATTACATTGATTATTTTAAACCACCAAACAATGCTTTCTCCAATATTGTACCCTGCTCATAATCTTTCTCTTCAGCACCTGGTGAAGTCTTACTTGTGTTTATAGCTCTCAGGGGTTCTATAGTTTCATGCTAGTCAACACTCAGCCTTTAGCTAATTGTCAAATATTTTAGCTGAAATCTTCTTAGCCACTTGTATGCTAGTCCTGTCTTCCTCGTGTGCTCTGCCACAGGTAAGTCGATGGTTGTGCCACATCTTACCTTGGAAGTGCCTCTCTGTCCAAAGATTTTAGCCTTGTGGACTATACTGTAACCTCACATCTCTGATGGGTTCAAGAAAATGTGTGATTTTATAGTTGCTTTTTTTCTCATTGTTAGTGTGGAAATTATGGGCTTTCCAGCTTTCTAAATTCCAAGTAGTATAGTAGTCTTTGTGATTAAAAAAAAAAATTGACTTATCTCCAACAACAAAATGATATGGGACATCATTTCCTCTTTTAAATATACCCTCTTTTTAAAGAGTAAAATGTAGCAGTGGCATTGGTCTAGGCTCATATTCAGCATAGACAAGGCTAGTTTTACTATTTGTTCTGTATAGCATCTAGTCCAATGTTAGAATGTGTGACTTGGATAATAGTTGTATTTGCATTTAAGGAAATTCTCCCTCTAGGCTTAAAATTAAGAAGCCAAGGGATAATTATAGAACTTCTGGCAGAGTAAATAAAAAGCAGAATAAGGTGTGAAATTATTTGAAGTTGCATAAATCAAGCCTACTGACCATTTTCCCTAAGTATGAAACCAGTGAGTGCCACTCAAAGGAGAATTTCACATTGTTTTTAAAGAAGAAGTAAGTGATAACAGCCAATGCAGATGAACATTACACATGTTATGGGATTTCATATGAATGTTTATTACATAAATACACTGATTCTTTAATTCAATAAATGTTTATTGAACATCTAAAATATGACAGACACTAATCTGCCATTTATGGAAGAAACATTCAGACAGGCAGTTAGGAGACCTGAGGTTTAGCCTTGATTTTGTTACTAACTCTTTGCATTATCTTGGATATCTAACTTCTTTAGACAAAAATCAGTGAGGGGTAAGGTATATCAAGGATTTCAGATATATAGCCATACCACTACATTCCACCCAGTCTATTTCACCCAGCATTTATGTTGGACTAGGTAATTCATACATGATTCTTCAGCCTAAAACAAGCTGGATTATTTTAAATTGTTTATCTTAAAAGAATCAAAGAACCAACAAAAGGAAAAATTACTAGACCAAGATCTGGGAGAGAATTGAGACCCTGAGAGATGTAGCTAGCATCAAGGCTCTCTGTTGTGCTAGGAGGATATGCCAATCAAGAAGAAATGTCTGAGAGCCTGATATATTCTTTTTGGTGGACTTTCAAGGTTAAATGGACAGACTAGGAGTCCATAGCTCACCAAAAGAAGTGATCCTACTATCTTCTTTAGCCCCACCCTCCAATTTGGGTTGGGATCCTAAAGACCTGTCTTGTAGGATTAAGGATAAACCAGAAGTGAACCAACCTCACAGGAAATTCCAGTTCAATCCTTGAACTCAGGTTAAGATGGCTCCTGACTACTAACATTTCTGGGATGCTTCATAGAGAGAAAAGGAAATCTTATGTGAAGAAAAATAGTACATTGAGCCAAAGTTATTTCTACAGATAATTTTTCAAATATGATAAGTCCAGTTAAATTTAACAATTTAACAAGGGAATGACTTAGCTAGAATCAACAGAAATATTAAACACCTGCATGAGCTTGGGTTTTGGAAATAATAGCACATGTTTGAAAAATCCATAAGCTATTATATTCAAGGATTTAAAATAATAGAAATTTTCAGCAACATTTATATGAAAA